TTAAATATAAGACATACCATAGTATTAAAATTATCTATATGAATAGCTCACCCAAAAAATTTTATTCTGTCATCCCTCATATCTTTAATTAAGATATTTTTATTCATACAATGAATGCCAGTAGGGTTCAAAACAACACTGGACCCCACTGACTTTCATTGTATAGACAAACATTTTTTGTTACACATGATAAACAACTTATAATTAGTTAAATCATAAAAATGTAAAATTAAAATAAATCATTACTACACTAAAAACAAAATCATACATAAACACTAGGTAAATATTTAAAACACTGACACACTGTGTGTGTGTGTATGTATATATATATATATACATACAGTATATTACTACATTTAATTGAATGCCATGTGAACATTTACAGACATCTGAGAACTGTGAACATGCAAATTTGTTGGTAAGTTGTTGAAATATTAACTTAATATATCAGGGGGTACGTCAAGAAAATATATAAATATTTAAAAATATCATGTCAGAGGGGTTCAACTGACAAAATTGTCTTTAAATCCCTGTTTCAATAGCACAAAAAATACATAAAACTAATTTTGGATGAAAAGTAAGAATTTTCTACAGATGCTTTTCAGTTCTGAATATAATAACTAGCTAAAATCGACTTTTTTCCTTTCTTGGATAAAAACCTCGAGTGTCTAGAAGGATTTTTGAAATGTTATTTTAAAAAGTCTTTGTGCTTAGTGTTGTCAAAGTTTCTTCAAGGAAAGTCAGTTCACTTGGACATATTTGCAATGCCTCAAGCAGCTATTTTGGGCATGCAAGACCAACTCCTATCTACTTGAATAGGGAAATCTCTGCTGGCCGAACTTACATTTAAATAACATATTTCAAATCAGCAATACAATCTGATTTGAACTGCCCCATTAATGTTGCTTCTTATCCTCAAATAGCACTAAATGCATACATTTCAGTTTGGCCCAACCAACGCAGTGGCTCTTTTATTTAGAAGGTGGGATTTATTTAATAATATTGGGCATTGTCTTTTATCCCATTCATGGTAATATGAGTGAACCGCCCTGGTATTTCTGAAGTATATGTTGCCATATACCTAAAAATGTTGCCAGGGTCGGTGACTCTAATGTGTAAAAATAATAAGCTCAAATTATGAGTGCAGGTTAAATTTAAGACTTTTTAAGACCTTTTTAATACCAACTTATATGACATTTTTAAAAAATGTTATAAATGACGAAAATTATTTGTCAACAAAATTAACACTGTGCTTGTGCCATACTTACATTTAAATAACATATTTCAAATCAGCAATACAATCTGATTTGAACTGCCCCATTAATGTTGCTTCTTATCCTCAAATAGCACTAAATGCATACATTTCAGTTTGGCCCAACCAACGCAGTGGCTCTTTTATTTAGAAGGTGGGATTTATTTAATAATATTGGGCATTGTCTTTTATCCCATTCATGGTAATATGAGTGAACCGCCCTGGTATTTCTGAAGTATATGTTGCCATATACCTAAAAATGTTGCCAGGGTCGGTGACTCACTAGATTTATAACAAAAATAATGTGTAAAAATAATAAGCTCAAATTATGAGTGCAGGTTAAATTTAAGACTTTTTAAGCCCTTTTTAATACCAACTTATATGACATTTTTAAAAAATGTTATAAATGACGAAAATTATTTGTCAACAAAATTAACACTGTGCTTGTGCCATAAAATTGTATTTTTAACCTGAAGTCAATTCTGACTCCCTTCCTTCTTTTTTGTAAAATGGTGAACAAAATTATTACATGATGAATACCAGGAAAGAGCCATACATCATCTACTACATGATTTCCAATGCAGATTTTGATGCAGTATCATGTGTCCACCAGAAGAGGGTAGCAGCTTGTAGCCAGATGTAACTAACTAAACCGAATGTTTCTGTTTGTTTCAGGGTGTCAGTGGACAAGGACAGAGAATGTTTTGATTTATTAAACATAAAACATTGAATACTGATATTTGAAATAATTAAAAAAATGAAATGTGAAATTAAAGCCGCCAGTAGGTGGCAGTAAGTCACTGTTAATAAGCGAGCCATTGCGACTGATCCGAATCAGTTAAACGAGTGATTCATTCAGGAACAAAACCCTGTCATGTTACTCAGAGATGCAAAACAGCGCTGTGGCTTTGTTTGGAATTATTTTTGTTGGCAAATAGTGCAAAAACAGGCAATATGGTGTCTAAAATGTAAGTCTCTTAATAAAACTAATAGTTTATTGAACAGTTGTAAAAAATCAATATCACATTTGTGGTAATTCTTGAAGAAAAAAGGCACTCTTCCGTGTGAAATTGATTAACTATAAGAAGTGGTATAAATATACAAATTTTCTGCCCCCTTGTCTTGAATTTGTGATCATTCTGAATGTATTTTAATGTTTATTGAACAGTTGTAAAAAATCAATATCACATTTGTAATCATGGTAATTTTGGGGGGAAAAAGGCACTCTTCCGTGTGAAATTGATTAACTATAAGAAGTGGTATAAATATACAAATTTTCTGCCCCCTTGTCTTGAATTTGTGATCATTCTGAATGTATTTTAATAGACTGAATCATGCAGTGAAAGAGCGCAGTGTAAATGCGCATGCGCACTAGACTTCACATAACGTGTGCACTCTGTAGGCGTTTTGAATGTTTTTTTTGCGTCGTGAGAATATTAAGCAAAATAGCTCACTTGTCATGGTGTTACTTAACAATATCATGTTATGAATAAACTAATCATTGTGAATTTTTACCTCAGTGTGTTTCTTCTGAGTTTATGTGTGCTGTTACGCTCATTTGTTCTGAAGTCTCGAGACAAACAGAGTGAGCCTCAGCAGCGAGAGCTTGTATTCTGTATTCTGCTAACTTACTGCAATTCTCTCTGATGGGTCTGTCCAATGATTGTAAAGTCATTAGGTCCGTCAGACTGAAGATATTTTAGCGGTAATAGGACCAAAAATATTTAAGACCCTTCAAATCCGTATTTAAGACATTTTAAGACTTTTTAAGGACCCGCGGACACCCTGTGAGTGTAAAGGTGCTTCTCTGAGTTATAAACGTAATTTTAAATTGCCAACGAGAACACAAACTCTTTGATAAAAATATAGATCCTGACTTGTGACTTGAACTTGTGCAAACTCAGTACCCATCTCTCATTCATTAGCATTATACGTCTGATAAAAAAACATCACTATGATTGAGTCATTTTTCAACGACTCACTGGATGCCGGAAAACAGATTCACACACACATGTATACCTGAAAAAATAAGAATGTTTTTCAAGCTCCTACAGAATTGTGGGTGTGAATGTCCACCCACAGCTGCTCAACCACCACCATCGCTCTGAGATATCTTAACCTAATACAACCCTTTCTATTTAACTGCGGCAAAGCTGAGGAACATGGGAACTCTCTCTCTCTCTGGGTGTTTGAAAGAGAGTGCACAAGTACGAGAAAGTGAGGAGGAGGAAATGTGGGTGGATGAAAAGCCAAAATCTCTTTCCATGCTTTTCTTTTGTCAGCCTCTATTCAGGACAATATAATTACACTGAAACGTAATTACAGCAGTGCTCAGGCCTGGTGTAATGTATAGAACGATAGACTGTTCTTACAGACACACATAATCCAATCATATCGTTCTGGTTTGATAATCATACAATAGGACAATTTACTTGATCACAACAAATAATTATAGATTCTCTGTGGACAGCCTCTAATTACAGTTGCAAAAAGATTATCTCACTGACAACTAAAGTGTCATCTTCACAATTAGATGCCTGTATTTGGTCAGTGACGGAGACAATCGAAGAGTCTGCAGAGTGTATATATTTATACTTCATGATAATGACAGTTCACTGTCAGCTGAAGATGACGGTTTCCACGACAGAGAGGTGTGGCTCAGGTGAGCAACATTTACTCATGTGAATTATGGTGCACTAATGAGCACCTTTAAACATGTTTGCAATGGCAAAATACAGCCAAAACAATAATATGTTCTGGAACAGTCAGTTAAATAATAATGACATACATATAGTATATACATACACACACACACCAAAAATTTAACAAAAAACTCCTAATTAATTGTGCAGATTTTGCAGAACTAGCTTAATTGTGCATATTTTGCGGAACTAGCTCAACCAAAGTGTCAGTGAATAGCCTTGATAATTGGATGGTAATGCTGCACGTGCAAAACTACATTTCTATCTCCATCCACTAATATCTGCTTAAGTAAATAACGCAGACAAACTCCGAACAGCCTTTTATATGCAGTCAGCAGGGCACCTGCATCTCTTCTCAAGCAGACGTGACCGTTCATGAACAGATGGCCAGTGAGTGAAGGAGTGAGAAGAGAGGTGTTAAAAAAAAAGGTGTGAACACTGAGAAAATTGAGAAATTACTGAGAAAGATTAACACGCTCCCCAGAGAGACGCAGTGGAGCAACAGTCTTGATATTTCTAAGCAGCCCACGGAGCCAAAAAATAGCATTTGATTTTGGGGGCTAAGACAGTGCTTTGGTCCAGGCTTTCAAAATGCTATTTATGAGCCTCTATTTCAAAGCCCTCCTACTAATCCAGCCGAACAGTGTCTCAGTTCATTTGAGAGTGCTTACAAACTCTTAAAGTCAACATGAAACGGCATTCAAAAACCATTTTGCTTCCGTAAAGTGACATATTTCAGAGTGAAACAATATTTAACAAGAAAAAAAATTAGTATGCATTTGATTCAAACTGCTAAATGAGCACCTTCTTTTACAATTATTAATCTCATGCCTCTGCTACATCGCAGAAACAAACTCCACCAACCTCAGTTGTGTGTGAATAAATAAACACTGCTTTCAATTCTGTTCTAGCCCTGAAAAGGGAATGCTTTCTTTTCAAAAAGGCTTCATACATTCTCCACTGTCAGATCAGAGAGATTTTGAAACCCGCTTTAAACACAAGCCCACTCACAGCATCAAGGCCTACTTTCAAAGAATAAAACCTACCTTTCCAGATCGGACATGCTCCTGTCCTTGTCCACTGACACCCTGAAACAAACAGAAACATTCGGTTTAGTTAGTTACATCTGGCTACAAGCTGCTACCCTCTTCTGGTGGACACATGATACTGCATCAAAATCTGCATTGGAAATCATGTAGTAGATGATGTATGGCTCTTTCCTGGTATTCATCATGTAATAATTTTGTTCACCATTTTACAAAAAAGAAGGGAGTCACAATTGACTTCAGGTTAAAAATACAATTTTATGGCACAAGCACAGTGTTAATTTTGTTGACGAAAATTTTTTGTCATTTATAACTTTTTTTATCGAACATTTTATTTCAACATTTATATCGACATTTTTTTCACCGACGACAACGAGACGATAACGAACTAAAAGTCTTTTTGAATGACAAAAACTATGACGTAAATCTATTGACATTTTCATAAAACGAATAAAAACGAGACAAAAATGTTAGGGAGGGACGATTTGAGAAGAGATTCATTCAGAACGAATCTGCTGCGTGGTTCGGAGATTAGATGCGTACACAAGAACCGGCGGGACATAAGCTAACATACACTTGCTGCACGTCGCATAAAACGTTAAAAAAATGTCAATATGTGGGAGTAAGAGAAGAGCAGATTTCAAAGAATAAAACCTACCTTTCCAGATCGGACATGCTCCTGTCCTTGTCCACTGACACCCTGAAACAAACAGAAACATTCGGTTTAGTTAGTTACATCTGGCTACAAGCTGCTACCCTCTTCTGGTGGACACATGATACTGCATCAAAATCTGCATTGGAAATCATGTAGTAGATGATGTATGGCTCTTTCCTGGTATTCATCATGTAATAATTTTGTTCACCATTTTACAAAAAAGAAGGGAGTCACAATTGACTTCAGGTTAAAAATACAATTTTATGGCACAAGCACAGTGTTAATTTTGTTGACGAAAATTTTTTGTCATTTATAACTTTTTTTATCGAACATTTTATTTCAACATTTATATCGACATTTTTTTCACCGACGACAACGAGACGATAACGAACTAAAAGTCTTTTTGAATGACAAAAACTATGACGTAAATCTATTGACATTTTCATAAAACGAATAAAAACGAGACAAAAATGTTAGGGAGGGACGATTTGAGAAGAGATTCATTCAGAACGAATCTGCTGCGTGGTTCGGAGATTAGATGCGTACACAAGAACCGGCGGGACATAAGCTAACATACACTTGCTGCACGTCGCATAAAACGTTAAAAAAATGTCAATATGTGGGAGTAAGAGAAGAGCAGACATATGGATAAATCTGACGACGCAAAAGAGAACTCAATTCGGTCCAGTTTTCTGAGCGCAGACAGAAAGTGCGTCTCACAGCGCGCGAGTACACTTTTGCGTCGCATGAACGGAGAATTACACACAAAATGATGTCGAATTGTCCGTTTTGCGATTCACGTAAACACTGAAAATTAACACTGCACAAGCAAAAAAAGAAGAAGAAAAAAGTAATGTAAATTTTTTTACAAATGAAAAATAGGTAAGTTGAATAGTAATACATTTTTAAAAAAGTTAATAAAAGTTATTATTATGAATAATATGTATTATTAAATATTATGTTAAATATTATTAATAATATTTTTTATTATAAATACATAATGTAATCTAATACAATATAATAAACAAACACAAATTAATTGAATTAATAAATAAAGCTTTAAAATAAAGTAATAAAATAAAAATAATGATCACAGATTTCCTTTTTTTACCTTGTTTTTCAGCAGACCTCTGAGGTCACCAGCCTCTTTAAGTTTGGACTTGTATAACATCCAGCGGTAACGCAGCTCTTCTAGTTCCATGTCCTCCTCTGCGGACTTACTCTGCCGACCGACCATCAACTTCTGGAACTGACTCTGACCCCAAGCTACATTGGCACGTAAACCCTTAAAAAAAATTAAAAACACAATTACTATGAGGGATTAGTGTGGGTGCAGTAGTTCAAGATTTGTGGATCATAATCCAGTTTAGAATTCAAAATTAACCTGTTGCTCAAAAAAAAAAAAAAAAAAAATTACAGACCAATTCTGTCTTAGAAATTTGATGTCCACAATATGATCACACAAGCTTTTGCAGTTTTCTGATGAGAGTACAGTACCGTTCAAAAGTTTGGGGTCTGATTTCTTTATTTTTAATGTTTTTGAAAGAAGACTCGTATGCTCATCAAGGCTGCTTTTATTTAATCAGAAATACTGAAGAATTTTGAAACAGTAATTATTTATTACAATTTAAAATAACTGTTTCTATTTGAATATATTTTAAAATGTAATTTATTCCTGAAAAAATGGCTGATTAAAAAAAATTTGTCCACATAGAAATAATATCCAATAGATTTTTTTAACACGTTATGGGCACATTATACTGAAAATCTATCAATTATTCCTATAAGAAGTTCTGTAAAAATGTGTCTGAATTAGCAACATTTATTAATGGAGAAGGAAGCAGTTTCTGCTAACATGAAGTCAGGTTTTAGTATTGAAGCATTCGTATTGGGCACTTTGTCAGCTGTAGGGGGATTTAAATAACTGAAGACAAACTCAATGTGGCTTTTTCTCCCCACAGAGCACAATACACAAAAGACTGAAGTAGTTTTATGGTATATTCAACAGGAAGACCACCTATGAATTGTTGTTCAAGAGCTTTCCCAAATCAGAGCTGTGAAGCTGTGGCTGTGAACAAAAAAAGTGTCAATGTGACACAGTGGCTGTCATCAGATATGACAGTTTTCAGGTAGTTGTGAAGTCTGAATTTTTCCAAGCCTGGGGTAAAACCTGAGCACAAGCCTTTCAAAGCTTCACAGAACTGATGTAAACATACGCACAGCACACTACACATCAGTTTCTCACAGACATGTAGCTTCACATACTGGAAATTATCCAGCATGTTCTGTGTGACCAAAGTAAAATATCACAGTGCGCTTTTTTGAATAAGATATCAAAGCTATCAAAGATTGTTTTTTACTCTAACACTTTTTGATATTTTGGACTCCGCATGAAACTTTAATCAAAAACCGATCAAAAGAAAGCAAAAAAATTTAACAAACACCACCAACCTTGAGTGTATTCTGTCTTATCCTCAGTTCTTTAGCACTCAAGGATCTTTGGTTGTTCAGAATTCCTGTGAGTTTGTCATTTTCCTTGTGAAGCCACGCTTCAAACTCCCTCCTCTGAGCCTCCATATCAGCATGATACTGGGGCCCCCGAGAGCCCATCTGCAGCAGAAATGAAAAGAGACATCCCTCTGTCCGTTTATGATTATAGCCTAGGTACTGCTTGCATAATAGTGGCTTTAGGGCTGGGTGATCTAGCTAAAAAATTCTCTATATTTTTCCAAGTCTTTTGATGATATTGCACATCTCTTTTTATGTATTTGCTCTGAAATAGCACCAGACTCAGAGTATGACTCAACATGTTTAAAAATGTAAATTAAAAAGTAAAAATCTAGTTTAAAATAAACAGTTTTTCACTAAATGAATAAAAAAAGTTTGGGTTCGGAATGCTTTTTTAAATTACATTTTAGAAAGAAGTTTCTAATGCTAAATAAACTGTAAAAACTTAAAATATATTTTTTTCTATTTTGATACATTTTAAAATGCTATTTATTCCTGTGATACCTATAAAAGGCTTGAAATTTTGAATTCTAACAGTTATTTTTATTATTAACTTATTTTTTTGCTATTTATGTTTCAATCAGACATTATTATACCTATAAGTCAAAAGACAAGGAGAGATCGCAAAATATTATAAAGCTTAAATGGTCAACCCCTGCATCAAGTAAAAGCACTGGAATAATTTCTGTCATTTAGTTACATTGCAAGCAAAATCACTGCAAATGCATATTTTGATATAATACCCAGCCCTAATGGTGACTGTCAAAATAACAAGAATCATATTTTAATCATCCTAACCTCAATGTCATCAGGGGGGTTCTGTGACGGCTGCATCCTTTTCTGTGCATCAGAGTCAATCCCACTTAAAAAGCTGTCTCTACCTTTTATATCCAGGTCTTCAATTCCAGAACCAGCTTTGTGTTGTTCAACCCATTCCCCAGTCAAACCACCACTGCTGATCACGTCACCTTCGTCCATCCCAGTCCGCTTCCTGTTCACCTTACAGTCACTTCCAGATATGACTGCATCCACCTCATCATCCATGGACTGGTCTTGGTAAGTCCACTCTCTTCTCCAGACCTCTGAACCTCCTGGTCTTGAGATGCCCTCAGGAAGCACAATTCGAATTCGATCTGGATTTGCTTCCATGTTCCTCTCTGGTTCTGGGTGGCCTGTTGATTCTGATCCATGGTAGGATCTCTGATGCTGGTCCGTTCCCTCATCTCCTTTGGCAAGTCCCACTTCAAAGTTTGAAGCCGTTCCCTGGTGATGCCCTTCTGCCCATCTGTCCAAGAACTCGGTTCTCTGTAATAGGGAATCTTGGTCGCCTGTGGCTGCATGTTCATTCAGAAGCCTAATAAGTTATGGTGAAAGTAATACATAGGTTGTCAAAAACTCAATTTATATTATATATTCAGTAGTGATAAAGTGATACTGACCAGATCAGTGATTAATCAGTCAATATTTGTCTATTTTGAAGTATTTCACACAGAAAAATTACACACATCACACCTTTAAAATTCTTTGTTCAATAGTAAATGTTGCATTCTGGATCTTTTTCTTCAACTTTTGGCTAGTAAACATCATGCAAACACAGCACTGATTCACAAAGCAATCAACAATAATTACAATCAAGATGACCAGATGAACTGGGTGCAGTACAATCAGAATGTGAAATATGTCTTTTGTAATTCCTATGAGGTTTGGTCAACAGGCCTGACAAAATGTCATAATTATGCTCCTTGAGTCATAGTTTCTCACTATTTAATACCATCAACACCCAGTATTACTGCAGGCATTACTTCTAACCTGTAAAGATTGAGACTAAGCGTGTGGAGGGTCATCCAGGTCTCTCTGAGGCGTTTAAGGTCTTGCTGGATGTGAACTTTGCCTTCATCAGAAGTTCTGGCCAGCACAATCTGACCCTGAGCCTCTGTCTGATGAAGCTGAAGCTCCTTCTCTGGAAATTCTCCTAGCGCCCTCTAGAGGACAACAACAGTGATACAAGGCTGTGTCTAAAATACTACAAAGACATGCATGCACAGGCAAGCATTTTTTGCTTTTGTGACATGACTCAAGTGACTTAAGTAGTAATAGAAGTAATACACAACAACTATCTGACTTGTTAAATCTTGTTAAATATCTTTATACAATGGGTCAAGTGTAGAATTATCATTCTCAAAACGTACTATGGTATTCATGTTTTCTGCCAAAATACAGGTGCTGCATCAATTAACCAATGATGAAAATAACTGACAACGAATGTTTAATTATAATTTAGTTTGGTCTGTATTCTTATATTCAAGAATTACATTTTTTTAAACCAATTTCTATTACTCTTCTTGAGATTTTCTTAATTTCCAGGACTGAAAATAGGCCTAATTCTAATTGGCTGATATTTATTTTCCAGGTTTTCCATAACAGTGTTAACTCTTCATCAACCATACATTTTTATTTCATTTTTATTAACAGCCAAGTCAATTAAGAACAGCTTCTTATTTTCAATAACAGCCTGGCATAAACATTTAATGCACTTAAATGTTTGGCTTCTTCATTCAGATTATTGAACAAATAAATCAACATTAATATATTATTTAAATAAAATATAAAAAATATAATGTAAACCATAATAATAATATCACAATAGATTAAAATGGGATCCTTCAAACATTGCAAAAAGCTTTCAGAAGCTCTGAACTTAATTTCACTTTTCTTAATTAACAGTAACATTAACTGTAGTAAATTGCTCAGAGATCTACCTCAGCCTCATGCTGGCGGTTATTGATGCTCCATTCCCCATCTGATCCACGAAACGACTCGAGCTTCTGTCTCATGATCATTAACCACTTCTCCATATTCAGAATATTGTCATGGAAACTCTCATGTTCTGCAATGTTCTCCTCACTTTCATTCACCTTAATCTGGTATGAACAACAACACATACTGTATAAACATAAACACACATTATGAAAACTTAAACAGACGTGAGAAGGATTTTAATGCAATAAAATTCTGGTATCTTTTCAGAAAAGAAAAAAAAACTCTCTTTAGGCCACAAGTGTGCATTAAAACTGAAATAAGGAGGTTTGATCAAGGCCTTCACAGTCATCTTCTTCATCATCATCATGATCAACACACAGCAGGAGGTGTGGAAACCGGGGTGTGATCACAGCGGTTTCCACAGATCTTCAGGGTTAAATCAGAATCACTTGTGAAGTTGGGCATTTTGAAGTGGCAAGTAAAAAGATATGTAGCCTCCCCTCTTTATTCAGAATTTCGTATTTCTATCAATTAACGATAAAAATATTATGAATATGAGGAATAGTTCTTTCAAAAAAGAAAATTCATTTACTCTGAAAATCTTCCCTCTGCAACAGCTCTCAAATTTATAACTCAGAATTTGAAAATTCAGAACATACAGAATTTTTTCAACAGATTTTATTTTGTATCATGGATGCCTTGGCATGTAATAAGTCATGTTCAAACAATATTTGTAAGTGCGACGCATGAGCATGACACCCTTTTGTAAATTCCACAACAAATCTTTGATTGTCTCACAGAATCATTCATTTCCATGAAAAAAATCTACTTCCATTAAATGCTGCTCTTTTGAACATTGTATTCATCAAAGAATGCTGGAAAAAATTTATCATGGTTTTCACAAAAATATCAAACAGTAAAAGCAGTTTTCAATATTAATAATAAGAAGAAATGTCTCTTGAACACCATATTAGCATATACAGTATTAGAATGATTTCTGAAGGATCATGTGAAGGATCACTGAAGACTGGCGTAATGATGCTGAAAATTCAGTTTTACCATCACAGGAATAAAATTACATTTTAAAATAATTAAAATAGAAATCAACATTTTTAACTGTAACAATATCTTACACTACCACTGTTTTTATAGTATTTTTATTGTATGTATTGTATTTTTAATCAAATAAATGCAGTCTTAGAGAGCAAAAGGGACTTTTGAACAATATGAGGGTTACAGATTGATGACAGATTTCTCATTTTTGGAAGAACTACAATTTGAATGAAATTTACAACCACAGATAAGAAGTATCTTGAGTAGAACAAATCTTACCCGAACCGCCTTATAAAGCAATTTCCAGTCCGCATACAGACGTTCAAACTTTGTCCTGTTTGCAGGGTTGGATGAAACCAGCGTCTCGAGAGCTATGATCTGGGCTTCACAATCTTCCAAGTCCTTTCTAATGACCTGCAGAGAGATGCACACTCATTTTACATTCAGTCTGCCACTAGCGAGTCTTTCCCGCTCCCACCTGGACAAGCCACTCTGATCAATCAGCGCAAACACATTGAGCTCAGCGTGACATAACTCCTAGCTCCTTAAATTATTCACATGACTCTTTTAGTGTGTGCCTGAAAGACGATCTAATCAAAAGTCACTGTATGTCTATAGCATACCACATGCAGAGATTAAAACCAAAACAGCTGTTTAAAAAGAAACTCAAAAAGGTGCGTGGAAAGCAAAAATGTTTGAAGTCGGAAACAGTAATAGGTTTCCGTTTTCTCTGCTGCTCACCCGGAGTTGGTCGGCCTGGGTCTTCTTGGCAAGAATGTCAGGTTGAAGTCCATCTGTCGTGATGAACCGCTCCTTTATGGAGCTTAGTTTTTTGTGTATGGAGTCATAGGCATCTGAAAAGTCCTTCGTCTTTGATATCAAACCCTAAAAACATTCAACAGGATACCACATGGTTTGGGGTGTTGAGACTACATGTATAAGGTTTAAGACAGGGATATAAGCAATATAAGAAGACATTTACAACATGAGAATCTGAAAATAAAATAAAATATCAGTTGGCAATATAAGAATATGTTTATATAATGATAATCTGAAAATAAAACAAAATAAATTAAGATAAGATAAGATAAAAAAAATCTATCAGTGGGCAATTTAAGAATATATTTATATCATGGTAAAAAATATAATACAATAATAAAATAAAAAATATATATATCAGTGGGCAATATATGAAAACATTTATATCATAATCAGAAAATTAAATATTATTGGGTGATACAAGAATACATTTATATCAAGAAAATTTGAAAATAAAAACAAAACATTTAACAAATAAACTTTTTATGACAAAGTCATATAGAAACTACTGAATAATAGTTGAATGAAAAAAAGTTTTCTTAAGTTAAAACAACATCTAAAAGGAGAGGTAGGCCTACCAATAATTTACATTTAATGAAGAATAAAGTTGAAATTTTTTTGGGGGAAAATACTATTTTAACTGCCTAAACAGGGCTTCTCTTCTTTTCAGCCGGACATGATATGCATTAACTTTGACCACATTTTTTTGTTATGCAAGACTATGCATGTTTCGGCTAATGGCGGGGTAAAGAGCGTTGATGTGGCTCAGGCATTTACAGTCTGTACGTACAGCAGTACAATTTTGAGCTGTGGTTGGTGGGGTACCTGCAGGCGGTTCTTGCGCTTTAGGAGCTGGCTGTGGAGTAACTCTCTCTTCCTCACATCCCCGCTGAGCTCTTTCAACAGATCGTCAGCTTTCTCTTGGCCAAAAACTGAGATGAGCAGATCACTCTTCACCTGGAGCAAACTCAAGCGCTCCTGGAGCTGCACGCTGTTTTTAAGTAACTTCTACAAAGAATAAAACAAAAGAAGAAAGAGCACACTCAATAACTTCAAAGAGAACAAAGCACTAACACTGAATTAAGGTGCCAAGATTAAAGCAAAAATCACTGCAAATGCTTAAATACAATATGATCATATCCACAACAGATCGTAGCATAAACTCGATATATAACCTTTATTTTCTCAAAACAAAGTGTAAATCAGGTGTCAAAAATACTGAACGGGAAAACATCACAACATTCAAAGTGAAAAAAAGGCTGACCTTCAATACAACTCAAATCTCTGCATCAGGGGTTCAGGGCTCAACAAAAACCCGAAATGAGAGATTCAAACCACAGTATCACAGTAATGTTATTTAGCTGGCTAACATAAAAGGTTTTGTGTAAATTGCAAGAACTACTTGACAACCCGGAAATTACCATTTAGACTGGGCTAAAAATTATAAATAAATTATAAACTGTTTTGCACTGTAAGTCATAATTTCTTTTTGAGTCCTGAAGTTAAAGGGGTCATATGATGCGATTTAAATTTTTCCTTTCTCTTTGGAGTGTTACAAGCTCTTGGTGCATAAAGAAGATCTGTAAAGTTGTAAAGACTAAAGTCTCAAAACCAAAGAGATATTTAAAAAAAAAAGTTAAGAGTTAACCACACCTGCCTAAAACGGCTCGTTCTAACACGCCCCCACATACCTACGTCACGATCTGGGAAGATTTGCATAACGCCGCCCAAATGTTCACGCAAAGAAAGAAGGCGTAACTTTTATTCTCGCTGTAGTATTGTTGACGATGCAGCCATGTCCTGAAGACGCTGTGTGCTTTGTTGTGAAACGAAACTACTTTGGTTTGGTCCTCCAAAAGAGGACGATTCGTCACGCCTAGAGCTGATCTGTGCTGGTCACTGAGGGAATACATCAACTTTCACCGTGGACAAAGCG